TCCATCTTCCTTGATGTCAGCCGTATCGGGAGAATCTCCTTTTTCTTGATACCGTAGACGTTGATTGAGATGTCGTTGTTCGAACTTCTTAATTTGGTTCAACGTTATGAAACGTAATGTCTTGCAAATTTAACACCGTATAATGCGGGTACGACAATTCCCGATTTGTATTCCTTTCAGCTGGATGCAGAGCCGCGATCACCACACGCATTGTCCTTGGATCGTACATTGATCACCGCTCGCTTTAACATAATTTCTCGCGGTAATTCGATGTAACATCCCGCGTGCATTGGATTATATTTGTTCACGTTTACAGTCAAATTTAGAATTCGCGACAACGCCCATCCACTGTCGCGTTCTTGGAATTCTTCGAGCGACGCCAACGTGGGTTCGATAACGTACTGCTCGTACCACTCGTCCAAATTTGACACTCGAAAAAGTTCACTATTTTTAGTTTATACTTTTGTTCGCGCGTTTATCGCCCGTCACAAACTCACCGTTAAATGCAGTGTTCACTTTCACACTATCGTGTCTTTGTACAATGTCTCGCACTCGCTCGAGCACTACACTACCAGTGTCTTCTAAAAATTATCGCGGCTCGATATAGTAGCGAATTGTAGCGTCCCTTAACTCTTGGACGAGGAATCGGGAAATGGGAAGTTGAGATATAGTGTCTCTTTATAAAATACACCGTCACGTTCACTGATAGATGAGAGATTGAATCCCATAACGGAGAACTTGTTAATTCTTCCAATTGTTTTCAATATTGTTTTTATATCACAGCACACTCTTCCACGGAGCACTTACATATGCCTTCACAATGTTGTCTTTTTTCAATTTGTGCAAATTGGGCACATGTTGCATGGCATTATCATACAGATGGACTGTTGGCAATTGGAGCAAAATCAGTTATTTAGCGCATTGAAAGTATCTATCTCGTGCTTCCTAACGGCATACAATACTCCAATGTTAGTGTCCGCCAGACAAACCATGCATTCGGCACAGAGTTAGTGCACCACCCATTGAATAATAAAATTGTATTGAACAATACTTTTTATTATTATTCAATGCAAGGAGTTCCGAACGGGTAACAATTTTTTCTGCATAATCCGTAAGGTCATCACTTTGATCACTTACGTAATTGCTATCGTCAGACAATGCGTGCTCTTCGTCTTCAATATCAATGTTAATATTGTCAATATTGTCAATTTCTTCTTCATTTTCAAACACTTCGTCCATTATATTCACAAAGTCTTCCTCATCCATATTAAACACATTTTCTATATTTAACACATTATCCATTTTCACCGTCAACTATTTTTTTCACACACATTAGACTTCCATCTACTGTGATCCTGCACACCCCATGACCCATTATATATCATCGACAATTTCTTTGTCCCTTTGTCGGAGCATCATCATAGGTCTCTCCGATTTGTTTATGCCGCGACGTGTACGCCGATTTCCGCGAAAAAAGCCATCATAAGTCTCCCTGATTTGTTTATAGTAACCGGAGTATCGGCGCTTCTCTTAACACGCCGCGACACGTACGTCGATTTCTACGAAGAGCTATCTTTTCGCGGGCTCTTCCTAGAAAAAAATTTGAACGTCAAAATTTGAACGCGCTCCTTTGCGAACATGTCGCTACGTGTTTGATTGCAACAATGAAATTCCTAGAAAAAAGGGGGAAGGGGAGAGAGGTTAACGGTTTGCCATGTCAAAAATTTACGCGATCAGTCCTCCATCGAACGATCTGCACGATAAAAAAGGTACTCCGCTCCTCCATCATTCGAACAACACGCAATGTATTCCGTCAAAGGAAACAGCGCACCGTACAATGGCGAAAAACAAAAGAAGGAATGTAAACGCGTAAGTTTCAA